AGCCCCTGACCCATTTCCTTTTGAGTTTTAGCACTATCAGAATCTTTCTAAAAGCAGTGAGATACTCTTGACCCAGCACTGTTGGTAAATAGGAATGCAAATGTAGCATTCAATTTCCAGCTACTCAAAGGCTGAGGCAGGAGGCTCACTCCAGTCCAGGAGCCCAGCAGCAGCCTGGGCAACATTAGCAAGACCCTGTCTCTAAAATTAAATAAATAGTTGAATTAGCCAGGCATGGTGGTACGCACCTGTAGTCCCAGGTACATTGGAGGCTGAGATGAGGGGATCACTGGGACCCAGGAGTTAGAGGTTACAGAGAGCCTTGACCGCAACAGCTTTGGTAACTGAGCGAGACTTTGATTATTGAGTCCTAGATCCCTGGGATCTATTTTAATAATTTGACTATTAAAAATAATAATCAAACAAAAGAAAAAAGAGAACCATTCAATTCTACCTAGTAACACACTGCCAGAAAACGTACAGCCTGGGCTACTGGTGTTCAAGGTGGAGAGCTGGCACTGACTGGAACCCCTTAGGTTGTAGCTCCCCAGAGCAAAATGTCATGTTTTGGAAATAATAGCTGCATACATGAGTATAAACTAGGTGTTGTTACTCAGGCACCCAAGGATGCAGCTGCTCTGCTGCACATGCAGAATGCCCCAGAAGGGCAAGGCCACCAAACCACCAAGCACACCCTGAGTTTTTTCTCAACAGCGACCTCATGTGGCAGCAGCTAAAGCCACAGGCAAGTGGGCTGCTTACCCAGCTTGGGTTCCCTCTTTGCTTGGCACTGGAAGCAGATGGGGTTTTGGAGTCTACCTCTGTGGTTCTCAGATGAAAACATTAGGGAGAATGCCCAAGGAGAAGGTGCTGGACCGCCTGGTAATGAAGAATTGCTAAGGTACTTGAGCGATTAATTACAACAGTGAAGAGACAGGAGCGTATTTGTGGCATCCTGAGCCAGTGCTCAGACAGGAGGGAAGGTATAAGTTTAAATTATACAGATTTGCATCAGGAATAAAAGGTTATGTTTCTGTTCAACCCAAACCAGTCCTGACATCCTTTCAGGCACTGAGAAGAGCAACCAGAGGAAAACTGGCAGGGAAGACACTGCTTCGGGGGAAGAATGTGAGGCTTTGAAATTCCATCACATCCTTGTAATACCTCTGCATTTGCTTTTCTGTAGACAAGCTTGGAGGCCCAAACAGTCAGGCTCTGACTCTCCCCAACCACCTCAAGGGGAAAGGAATCTGTCAGCTTCCCTAAAAGGGAAAAGGGAAAAGGAAAACAAAGTCAAACAGAAAAGCTAATGTTACTTCTCATCTGTTTGAAGGCATAAGGCGGAAGAGAGACAGGTTCTGTGCAGAGGCACTGTTGGACCCTGGGGAAGGAAACCTGTAGGCCCTCAGTTGGAAAATATTAAATTCAGGGAGCTTTTAATGAGCTTGAACAGCTCTTTGATTGTTGCTGATGTTAAGATGGAAATGGAGCATATGAAGGTGTGAACTTTCCAAGAATATGGTTTTTAGGAAGCATGTCTCCCTCTTGCCATCCCTTTCCTTTGGGGCTATTCAAATAAGACCTCAAGTCATCACATCAGAGGTGGGGTTAGGGTTATAGTAGCTGTAATGTGAGACCCAAAGAATCCCCAGCTCCAGCTAGTACCAGCTGCTACTGTGGGTAGAAGAGCAACGGCCTCACAGAGATGGATTGAGACGGGATGGGATAAAAGGCATAAAATTAAAGACAAGAGCGGTAAAATCTGATGAAAGCAAACACTGCTGGCCAACCTAGCAGCTCAAGTTACATTTACCACCTCCGACATGGAGGGGGTAATCATGAGTAATAAATCCAGGCTCTGGAAAGAAATTATGGACTAAATCGCTTGACAATGGGTAACACCAGGGAAGTCACAGATTCACCTTCCCAAGGCTCAAGACAGTGTATAAAACTCATCAATCGCACTGAGACAAATTTCACTAGAGCCCCAGGATAGTCTAGATTTGGATTCCTAAATAGCCTCTGAGCTCTTCCCAGAACCACAAATGTGGCAGCAGCACAAACGTACCACTAGTCCCACTTCCAGTCCAGGGATTCTTCATCCCACTGCGTGGTGGCTGCTATCCTCTCCAGGAAGATCAGGCAAAGTCAATACATAGGCAAGGGCTGTTTCCTGTTGTACATTTCTGTGCCGTCAGCTGAGTCCACTCCCTGATATCAGAGATATTGCAAACAGTTCCTGGAACCTATTCCTTCCTCAGTCTGAGGCCCCAGACAGCACCTAAATCATCCTGCTACCTACAGGTTCCTCCCATCACCTCCCCCAGAGCCCTGTAAGTTCTCAACTCCCAACTATTCTCACTACAGCTTAGCAGGAAAGCAATCTGATCTAATGAATTCTCACGAACAAGCCAGAGATCACAAATTATCTGCTCAATATGGACTTTCAGTGTTTATAGGGGAGGGTCCAGGCCTTCTCTGGCCACCTGGGAGAACAGGAAGGAAAGTCTCCATCACCACCACCTCTCCCACCTCCCAGCCATCATTCAATAGATGGAAGACTCATCCACAGCTCCATTTCTTCTCCATACAGCTTCCCATCATGAGGCAGAACCAAAAGCCCAGGTCTCCTGGCTTGGATCCATCAGGGGACAGGATCACATCTTGTAGAGACAGGAAGGAGCTGTCTGGCATTAAGCCAAGTAAGACCCTAGAAATCCAGTCCTGCTCATGGAAGGGGGATCCCTTCTGCTTAGAGACTAAAGGGGCCCAGGAATTAGGGTTTCACATCAGAGGTCTTCAGAATCTCTGCTCCATCCCATCCCTGCACCCTAAGCACAGCTCCCTGCAGCTTCCAGGCTGCATTCGTTTCATTCATCTCCAGCCTAACTGACTGGCTTCCCCATGCTCCTGGCTTGCTGAGCCTCCGCCTCTTTCTCAGGACCCTTCTGGCACACCCATCCCTGCTCCTAGCCCACAGCTAAGAGGGCCTCAATGAACCAGGGTCTTGGAAGTGAGGAAGAGCCCTTGTGTTGCATTGCTGGAACACCTGCTTCTTCCCAACATGCAAACCCAGTTCATAAGACACTTGGGCATCCGGGTCCTTTCTCATACAGCAGGTCACTTGCTTCCAACTCTTTTTTTTAGAAAGGAGGAGAAGCATTACTCCCAGAAAATCTTCAGCATGAGAGGGTTATAGGAGGACTTTTACTTTTCTTTGGTGATTATTACAGCTGGTTTAAGGAAAGAGTGGGTTCCCATTCTACCAGAATAAAACTGAAATTGACCAGAAATTCAGAATCTTCAACATCTCAGACATTTTTTTTTTTTTTTCTGTTCTTTGCTGTTTAGAAATGGGGAGCCAGTAAGGAATCAAGCACATGGTCATTCCTCCACCTGCTTGTCCATTGGCTTAGTATATATTGAGGGCTTCTACCTGGGGCAAAGTACAGTTGTTTTTCCATATGATACCCCAAATCTACTTGCTTCGATTGGCAACTGAATTCAACCCTAAATTCTGGAAGGACACACATGAAATGGTTAACAGTGACTATCTGAAGCTTGGGAATGAATCAGAGCAGAGTAAAGGGTAGCTTTCTCTTTTCTCTCTACCTACATCTATATCGCTGTTTGTGGTTTGTGTTTGTTGGTTTGTTTGTTTTGAGACAGGGTCTCGCTCTTTCACCCAGGCTATAGTGCAGCGGCGCGATCACTGCTTGCTGCAACCTTCCCTTCTCAGGTTCAAGCAATTCTCCTGCCTCAGCCTCCTGAGTAGCTAGGACTAAAGTCATGAGCTACTATTATGCCTGGTTAATTTTTGTATTTTTAGTAGAGATGGGGTTTTACCATGTTGGCCAGGCTGGTCTCGAACTCCTGATCTCAAGCAATCTTTCTGCCTTGGACTCCCAAAGGGTTGGGACTACAGCTGTGAGCCACCACACCCGGTCTGTGGGATTACAGGCATGAGCCACTGTACCCGGCCTATGGTTTTCCTTTCTTTCTTTTTTCTTTTTTTTTTTTTTTTGAGCTTGAGTTTCACTTTTGTCACCCAGACTGGAGTGCAGTGGCACGATCTCACCTCACTGCAACTTCCACCTCCCAGGTTCCAGGGATTCTCCTGTCTCAGCCTCCCAAGTAGCTGGTATTATAGGCACCCACCACCATGCCCAGCTATTTTTTTTGTATTTTGAGTAGAGACAGGGCTTCGCCATGTTGGCCAGGCTGGTCTCAAACTCCTGACCTCAGGTGATCCACCTGCCTCGGCATCCCAAAGTGCTGGGGTTACAGGCATGAGCCACCATGCCCGGCCATTTTTTTGTTTTTTAAACACAGAAAATGTATTCATGGACTCCTTCAGATATAAAAGTAAATTCAGAAATGGCCAAAAAGCAAAAGGAAGTGAATGTTTTCAACAACATGGTCCAGGCTCAGCAGATTTCCGATGTAGGCTGAGATTTGGGAGGTGAGCGGAGTGGGAGGGTGCCGTTTTTAGAGCCACAGAACAGTCCAGAACAGACCCATGCATTCAAAGTTCTCCCCAAGGCTGGACACTGCACAAACCCTCTCACTGGTCTCTTCCAGGTTTCTGCCTCCGAAGGCCAAGAGCCTTCAAAGCACTAGCAAGCTTCTCTTGACTTAATCCCTGGCAGCCCCTCAGGACGTGAGGAGCAGGCATGTGCCTTCAGATTACCTCACCCCAGGTGACCCTCTCACCTGAGAGGTGTCCAGGAAATGCAGAGGTGTTTTACCTCATTGCAGCATCCCTCAAAGCATTTCCAAGTTAAAGATAGGAACGTTCTCCAGCATAGAGGCCTGAACAGCTTCTGAAAAACCCCGTGTCAGACACAGAGGTCAGATTTTTGCCAATCCATTCAAATGGACTGGGCTCCCCTCCCTCCTCTGCCTTGGTAGAAGCACAGAAAAGGGAGCTTGGCAGCCGAAGCAGCCACCAAGACATTCCCTGTTATCTCATTAATCACCGCCTGCCAGGACCCGCTTACCTGCAGATGTAATTTGTCTTGCAGGAGTCCTGCAAATTCAAACAGTTGGGTTTCTCCCTCTCTTCATAGGAGCACACAGGCACGATGGTCTGTCGTCTCCGCTCTGTGCAGGCGATGTCCCGGCAGGAGCAGAAGAGCATTCCGTAGCTGTGCTTGGCCGGGACCTTGTCAAAGAACTGCCGGAGAGCCTTGTGGCACTTGCGACGGTTGCAGACATCGTTGGACACGCTGGTGGTACACGGGGTGATGTATGCCGATCTGTACTTCTTGCAAATGTCATCGAGGTTGCAGGCCTTGGCTGCATCCAGGCAGTTGTTCCCTTTGGGAAAGTGCTCCACTACAAATGTAGAGAAAGACAGGCATGGTCTCAGTGCTCGGCTCTGGGGCTGTTCTCTCCTACTCTGCTTTAACTGAGATCTTGCCATTTACCTGGCATTGCCAGCGGCTCTAGAACTTAATGAGTTTTGAAGCTAATAACTTAATGACTTCATGACAAAGAGAAAGTGCTAGGAGTACAAATGCCAGGAGTCTACAGCAGCACAAAAGCCCTTAATATTCCTATAGACATAGAATTGGGAGGCGCTAAGTGAGGCCGAAAGAGCTCAGGCACCTGCCTGACTACATGCAAACAAGGCAACAGGAGAATAAGCTTCCGGCCCCTGGTTAGCAAACTGAAATTAGAATAAAAGAGAAAAACAACAAATTATATACTTGTTCATGACGTAGTACATAAAATGATATGCTGAATGCAAGTATAATTGCCATACAATCCTCCAAGAATATAATTATGTAATAAATGCATACAGTACATGCTAATTACTATATGATTACAGAGTAATTACATGGTTATTTGAGCCCAGAAGACAAAATATTATGCCAGATTCTCTAAATAGGAAGAAGCAACCACAACAAAGCTATATTTAAGTTTTAGTTTGCAGGACGTTGGAAGAAAACCAGAATGAATCACATGAAAATCTGCAAACCTCAATTATCACTTAACTCGGCATAGACAACACGTGGGCTCTATGAGTTCTAGATTAGAAAAATTCAGCTTGTATTTTGGATAGAATTTCAATGTGTTCCAGGAAGCTCACAGAGCAAATGCTGCCTTCTGCCCAAGCCCTGTGCACTCACACTGCCAGAGAAGCCTGTGCTGTCTACAGCGAGAGCATGGTGGAGGTGGGACCCACTTGGTGCTGGGCAGGCAGACTAAGGCCAAGCCCAACTGCAAAGTTAAAGGATGATTGGAAACAGGAAGTCAGCCCTGTTCCGATTAGAGGGGTGTTTCTGCAGAGAGAAGGAAGTGATGGAAAAACCTTCCAGAAACAATGTACAAGGTGACTATACCATGGAGTACTGATGATGAGGTGTAGTAGCAATTCTCTGGAGTGGGCAGGGAACTGTTGGACAAGCACTGTGCAACTGTGGGATGAGACACCACAGCCAGTTCCTCCTCGGGCCTCAGCCCCTCCATGGATTCTATGACCACCTTTTATTCTGTCTCTATGCCCCCAGTTGACAGGGGCATTTAGGAAATGACAAAAGGCTAAAGAATTAACGAGAGAAGGCACAGTTGGGTTGGGTAGGACTCAAAGATAGGGCAGTGCATTTGCTGCATGTCTAAAGGGCACACGATATATTATTCAACCTTAGAAAAGAAGGAAATCCTGCAATGCGTGACAACATGGATAAACCCTGAGGACATTATGCTAAGTGAAATAAACCAGTCACAGAAGGACAAATACTGCCTGATTCCACTTACAGGAGGAATCTAAAATAGTCAAACTCATAGAAGCACAGAGTGGAATGATGGTTGCCAGGGGCTGGAGAAGAAAATGAAAATATATGAGGAGTTACTATTCAGAGGAAATAAAGTTTCAGTCACGCAAGACAAATTCTAGAGATCTGCTCTTCAACACTGTGCCAATGGTTATCAATATTGTATTGTACACTTAAAACTTTAAGAGGGTAGATTGAATTCAAATTGTTCTTCCTTCAATTAAAAAATTTACATAAATAAATAAAGGGCACACAAAGCAACTCCAATATTTTAGGAAAAGAACAACTCTCCCTGTTCTACTGAGGATGTGTCTTGCTTTCAGAAAACCCATGTGTAAATATCTGAAATCACATCATTATACCCTGGCACCAGAAGTCAGGTTTTATTGTGCTCCAGGTTCATGTGCTTTCCTGTGATATCTGAGTCCGAGAAATTTGCTGTAGAAGGCAATGAGCAAGACATGAGCCTTTCTTGGGTGCGTAGTACAGGAAGTTGGCAGCTGCACATCCATCCCGGCTTTAATAAGCACACCTGGTCCTGTTTCTCCATTTCTCTCTTCCTATGCCCACTCCTCTCTTGCTCCTCTATTTCCACACTCAGGCTTCTCAGGACTCAGAAGTGAAATATCCACTGTGTACCCTGACAGGGCCACCAGGGCCTCTGGGCCTTGGTGACACTTCCAGCCTTCTCCTCTTTTGAGACTTCTAATATTGTGCTACTGAGCCCAAGGGCAGTGATTTATATTCTGGAAGGTTGACAGTTCTCTAGATTTCTAAATTAGGCATTTTTGATGATAATCTAAAACAAATTAAAATGATCATATTCTGGATCAGACTTTTAAGGCTGGGTACTGGTACACAATTTCACTAGCTGCATTTACATGTGGATTGATGTTGAATGGCACTTTATAATCTCTAGCTAAAAGGGAAAGAACAGAGGCACAGAGCTAGATTAATACTTAAAGGATGTGGCCAGGGATATATGAACAAACAGTTCAAATGTAGAAAAATGCCTGAAGAATGAAGTCAATGCATGGCACCCAGTAATAAAGGCCTGCCAAACTCAAAAGAACCCATGCAGAAGCCGAGTACTACATTCAGATTGTAAGCACCAATTTAGTTTCAGCAAAATAATATCATCCCTTACACTAAATTAATGTTATTAGCCTGCATTTCATTGTTTTCAAAATTCTGTTCATATTTATGTGCATTGTTTTCATAGTTGTGTAAAAGCCAAGAATAAGAGCTTACAGTTTTGTTTATGAATTTCAAAAAAATCATAATAAAAATAATGAAAGTCAACACGTAACATCTAGGAAATTAATTTTTCTCTGTAAGTAGTCCACAAGCTTATATGGAGCTTTTAAAAATTGGCCTAGTGTATACCTTCTTTGTTATAATAATACCTTTTTAAAGTTGTTAAAACTATACACACGGCCGGGCGCGGTGGCTCAGGCCTGTAATCCCAGCACTTTGGGAGGCCGAGGTGGGTGGATCACGAGGTCAAGAGATCCAGACCATCTTGGTCAACACGGTGAAACTCCGTCTCTACTAAAACTACAAAAAATTAGCTGGGCATGGTGGCGCGTGCCTGTAATCCCAGCTACTCAGGAGGCTGAGGCAGGGGAATTGCCTGAACCCAGGAGGCGGAGGTTGCGGTGAGCCGAGATCGCCTCCAGCCTGGGTAACAAGAGCGAAACTCCGTCTCAAAAAAAAAAAAAAAGAAAAGAAAAGAAAACCAAACTATACACACTATTAAATTTTTATTCTTAATGTTATCAGAAAAGTAATATTTTTTTTAAAAAAAAAGGCTTTGTACAAAGTTGGAACGGGGTGAATCACTTTATGTCTAAACCAGCTGCTCAAAGTTTACTTCATATACCAGTGGGTGTGACTTAGCATCACTTTCTACTGATTCTATTTTCATCTATGTATGACTCTTGCCAGAGCACCATCTCCTTCTATTATTTCAGAGCCCATGACAGATTCCCGAATACACAATCTGGCCCATTCAGAGGGGAAAAAAACCTGTTAATTAATTTCTAGCTCACAGGTGAACATGTGACTGACTTCCTCTTTGTTTCAGACTCTCATTCACACAAAATATTTTCACAACCCTTCCCAACTTGACAGTTGAGGTCAGCATTACCCAAATACCAGAACTGAACACAGACAAAAGAAGAAAATAATAGACTAATGTTGCTTACAAATACAGATGCAACAATATTCCCCAGATTTTAGTAAATGGTATTTAGCAATATGTTAAAAGACTAATGCATCATGACCAACTTGGGTTTATCACAAGAATGCAAGGGTAGTTTAATGTTTAAAAATATATGTAACTCACCACACTAACAGAATACAGTATGAAAACCATATAATTATTTCAATAGACAAAGAAAAAACATTCAGTAAATTTCAATACTCATCCACAATAGAAAAAAAGTTCAGCAAATAAAGAATAGAAAAGAATCTCCTCGATCTGATACAGAGAAGCTATGGAATACCTATAACTGAAGTCATCTTTCATGGTAAAATACTAAGATTAAGAACAAAGGATGCCTCTTCTTACTGCTTGCAGTCAATGTTGTACTGGATGTCCTAGACATCTCTAAAGACTCTATAAAACAACTGCTAGAAATAATAAGTCACAGGATACAAAGTTAATATACAAAAATTAATTGTACTTTGAAAAATATATACCATTTTTATTGATAGTGTTTGCACATATTTATAAGACATTTTTATTAATGCATAAAATGTGTAATGATCAAGTCAGGCTAGAATTTTTTTGAGTTTACAAGCTTCATATTTTAAAATTTTATTGCTAATTAGCAAATAATTATGTAAATTGATGAAGTAAAATATGATGCTGATATACATTTAACATTGTGGAATTACTAGATCAAGCTAATTAGCATATCCATCACTTTCTTATTTACAGCAGGATCAATTAATTAAAAAAAAAAAGCACTTAAAATGAATTTAACAAAAGACATACAAGACCTCTACACTGAAAACTAAAAACACTGCTAATAAAAATTGGAGGCTTGATAAATGGAAATACATACCATGTTCATGGATCAAAATACTCAACACTGTCATAATTGTTAAAACTCAATATTATTAAAACTTAATAGCTTATATAGTTTTAACAATTTTTAAAAGGCGACTCATAATAACAAAGAAAGTATACACTAGGTCAATTTTTTAAGCTTGTATATAAGCTTATACACAATTATCTCCAAATTGTATGTTTTTAAATTGGCAAGCAGATTCTAAAGCTTATATGGAAATGCAAAGGACACAGAATAACTAAAGCAACTAGAACAAGGAAAACAAAGTTGAAGGATTTACACTTTCTCTTCTCAAGGTTTACTATGAAGTTTAAATTATCAAGACAGTGTGTTTCGGTATAGGTATAGACAAATTGAACAATGGAAAAGAAGACAGAATGCATAAATATCCCACATACCTACAGTCATTTGCTTTTTTTTGAAAGGAACGTTGAAGAAATCCAATGGGGGAAGAAAGTCTTTTCAACAAATGGCATTAGAA